TCAGCTTTAGAGGATGACTGTGTAAAGCTCATACTACTCAAGAGGTTTAAATGTGTGTTGTGGGAGCTGGGGCTGGGGCTGGGCTGCCAGGAGTGGCTCCCTCTTGATGTGTGAGGATGAGGAGATGTCCAGATCAGACATCCCAGCCATGGTGTCAGGACAAAGTCTGGAATGGAGATTCTCAATTTGAGATGATCTTGAGATTTAGAGACTTCCAAATTTAGAGACATCCTCTGATCCTCTGACAGTGACATGAGATAAGGGAGTAACTCATATGCAATTCTTATTTTTTAACTCACATGCTACTCCTACCAAAGTATCTAATACCCACAGGTGTGTCCCAGAGAACAAGCTGCAAAACTGTTCCTTTGTTTTCCTAGTTTCTACTCTAATATCTGAGGACACACGCAGCAAATCCCTCATGTCACACTTCATGCATGGTGTAGGACCATCTGTAGGTGAAAATCCTTCCTTCCCCTCCCAGCAGTGACAGAAGCACACTCCACTGTGTCACATCCTTGATTTCCAAGCATGCACTCAGAGCATAACACCGGAAGTTATCCAGCTTTATCTGTGACTGGCTCAAGGACACCACACCAGGACTTTCTAACACTGCAGCCCAGAGGAGGTCCCTGTCCTGCTAAAGGGACCCTGATTAACCATTCTGGGCTGCTCCTGGTCTAGCAGCAACATGCCAGTATGAAAGGAAGTTCTCCTGCCCCATTCCCCAGGATTCAGCATCACATAATCCCAAAATCAACAAATTTTCAAACTGTAGCACAGGGACATCTCAATCTTCTTTTGTCACTTAACAGAATCATGGAGGTGACCTCCATCAGAGTGCCCTGCTGCCACCCCTCCTCACAACAGCTCAACAGCCTTTCCAAGTGCTTGGTAGCAAATTAAGGCACTTTAATTACACCATGACAGAATTAACTTCTCTGGAAGAGTGCTCTAAAAAAAGCATATAAATGAAATTAATTTTACCTGCAGTTCACTTTTTAAATGCATGTTATTTTTAAGATATTACTCCTTATATACAGAACACTTAAATACTCTTATCTTATTGCTTTGGAAGTCCTTTTTGCTACACCAGCACTTGCTTTAAAATTATCTGTAAGACTTATCATTGCCAAAACATATTCTCAAACCAACAATGATCATACAGCAAACTGAAATAAAAACTGCTCTTTGCTGCTGCTATGCATTTAAATGTGCAGCTGATTTCAGTGGCACAACTTTAAACTCTGTTTTATAGGATATCACTCGATTTTAGTACAAGCATTTATCAGGCACAGCTCTGAAAATGTTAAGTCAGACTATGAAAACATTGTCAGTGCTTATTTTAGTAATAAACCCCATGCTTAATCTATGCTTTCATGTTACAGTAATCTATGTATCAATCTATAACCTTCCAGCTAAATGCACTAAGTAGATTAAGCTCTGATTGATTTGAAATGTTTTTCACTATATTATCAAAAGTCTACAGATCAGCATAAATACCTCGAAGAAATTTTTTCTCCTTTGGCAGATTTACAAAAGCAGAGCTTAACTTGAATTGCAATGAACTTCTGCATTTTTCCAGGGTAAAAAGCCTGTCAAATTTACTCTAGATCTGCTGTGCTTGTGGACTCAGGAAAAACCTGTGATTAACAGTGCGGCGCATCTCTTCTGTCGTGACAGGAGCGGTGACACTGTGAAGAAAATGTCCCCCAGGGTCTGCCATGCATGTGAAGTGCCAGGAGCCACCCCAAAGGGTGGCACTGCTGGGTTGCCATCTGCAGAGCTCACTGTGCAAACAGCTCTCACAAAATGAGGGGGAATTGCTGTTGGGGTGCTCTTGCTATGTACATAAAAGTTGCTAAAAATCATTAAAAGTCATCTTCCCCAAATAGAAAACCCCGAGGTTTATTTTCCATTCTGCACTGAGGGAAAGTGAGAAGCAGGGTGTGAGCTGTGACAGAAACCCAGTGGGTGCTGCAAGGAGGCTCTGCTGTCACTGCCAGGGGTCACAGAACTTCAGCAACAAAAAGAGCATGGAAGGGAAGAGGAGTGTGCTGAACTCTCTGTGATCCTGATTCTCACAGCTCCTCTGCAGACTGCCTGCTGGAGCTGGCTGCACAGATGGAGGGAGGGTTCTGCATATGCTCAGCACTCATCCTGGTGCTCACTGAGATGGCAGCAGTGCAAACAAACACGGGCCCGAGCATCCCACCCAGCTCGGCTGGGAGGTGGGGAAGGCAGGGCTAGAAACCACAGCAGGAATGGGTGAAAAGCAAAAGTGGTCTTGAGATGGTACAGTTCAGTCTTTGCCAAGTTTTCAAGCATTTCCAGTCAGGTAAGTTTGGAGTTAAAATGTGGCCCAAGTTCATCCCACTGAAGAGGTGGCATCCAAGAAAAGGGAAGACTTTGGAAAAACAAAGGCGATGATGTGTTAGTAGAGTATCCCAGGTTAAATCTCACTGGTAAGCACAACTGGATTCTCTTGGAGCCCACTGGGAAGGTGTTTCTCATTTCTCAGTTGTCCTTATCCATTTATCTCCAAGGAACATCCAGCTTCTTCTGGACCCTGCTCCATCCATCCCTGCAGGTAGACAGCTGGTGTCTGTGCCCTGCAGACCCAATGACACCATGGCCCCACAGCTGGTTCAAGCACACATCCTCTGTCCTGACACCAGTCCCAGGTTTATCTCCATGAGGATTGCACAAGTGATGGCAAGAGAAGGAGCTCAGCTCACACAGCTCAGCTCTGGATTTGATTTTGGATTCCCATTAGTTGGGAATGTTTAAATCGGGTTTTCCTGTGGGACCTTCTACACCTTTCTTGTGAAAAAAGAGAATTATTTAGTTCAATATAAACTGTATTAGGACACAAAGTGACATTTACAAATCAAAATTTCTTTCAAACATAACCCAAGTGAACAACAGGTCCAATGGTCCTAATCTGCCTTGTGCATCACAGGTTACAGAACCTGGCTTAGCATAAGCAGACTGCACTCGATCACACATTCATTTCTTACCCAAGCACATTAACATAAAGTTAACAAGCAAATTCATTATAGAGGGCAAACCTGAAAGTCAATGTCAGCCAAGAAATTGCCTGAGCAATCCTGTAATTGAATAAAAATAGGTGTCAGCAAAACAAGTGTCATCCTGGGCTTGCTGATGTGCTCTGGGTTCATGTGCTTGACAAACTCCTCTCAGTGTGGGGCTGTGTGTGAGACTCTGCAAGGAGACCCGATGTACTAAATGATGTTTATCAGACAAATATGGGTAGTAGGAGTAGGCACATTTGACCTCCAGAGTCAAACAGCCTGCCCACAACTTCACCAGCAAATTAATAAAGTGAAGGAAAATTAGCATTTTGTAACTTCTTAGCCACTTCTCTGGTTACAAAGTGCTTTCACAGCGCAAGGAAGACACTTGCAAATATGCTGTATTGCAGTAGAAGCACATATTTAAATATAAAAAATAATAAAAAACTATCAGATTTTTCCACTGATGTGTTTGATGAGTTTTTACACTGATTTATGGGAGCAGCATCTTTAGGAGGGGAAAACAAACTCATTCATTTTAATTCCCTCATTTCTGGGTCTAAGGACCATGGTCTAGCTGTGATACAGACCAATGTAAGTAGTGATTCCTATTTTTTCATCAATTAACTGTTAATGGCATTTTGCAACCTATTCTGTTCCATTAAGCCTCAAGAGAACTGGGAGCAGCCAACAGGACACAGTTTATAGATGTATCTGGAATTTCTCCCTGTAGAAGTAAGAAAACCTTGGGATTATGCTGGGATCTGTAGGAGAAAGGTGATTTTAGAGGGAAGCTGTGTCACAGGAAAGAGACACTGCCAGGTCCAAAAGCCAGGATCCCTGTGAGAAGGAGCTGCTGGCAGCAGCTTAGTCAGCAGCAGAGAGAGAGATGCATGATATGTACCTGTTATACATACAGATATAGATAAATAGATACAGATATAGATGATATAGATAAAGATATATAGATAAATAGACAAAGATATAGATATAGATATAGATATAGATATAGATATAGATATAGATATAGATATAGATATAGATATAGACAGATGATATAGATAAAGACATATAGATAAAGATAAATAGACACAGATATAGATATAGATATATAGATATATAGATATATAGATATATAGATATAGATATAGATATAGATATAGATATAGATATAGATATAGATATAGATATACATATACATATACATATACATATACATATACATATACATATACATATACATATATGTGTGTGTGTGTGTTTTTTAAATTTTTATTCTGACATATTACTTTAAAAGCCTACAACAACACCCAAAAGAACTGGGGGTGGTGAGGATCCTCTCCCAAGCTAATAAGCAGCTGAGATCACTTTTCAAGCAGCTGCTCACACACACCAAAATGGCCATTTGCCAGCTGAAAGGATCAAAGAGAACAGTGCTCCAGAGATGACCCTCCACCCTGTCAGGCCCATTTTCACAGCAAAGAAGCCAATTACTTGGGGTCTGCTTTTAGAAATTTTTTTAGGTGGCAAGATGTGGGCAGCTTCCAAGGCCCACCTTGTTCTGTGGAAAACAGCTAATCAAGTAAAATTGTTTCCTCGCTTTCTCCTTTAAGATAAAACTCCTTTCCCTCCCCATTTCTGTCCTTTTTAGTGATTTGAAAACTGGCACGTATATGAGTGATTGCAGGTGCCATTAAATAATGAAGCAGTTCTGTTCATTAAAGCCCAGTGATTTATTACCTTTGGACTAAGGGAAAGAAAACAGCCTGAAAACAGAATTCTTACACCATTTCACATTATTTCCACTCCAACACATCAGGCAACTCTTAGAACGGCAGGTTTTCAGCTCTGTGGTCCTCCAGTGCCCAGAAATGCAATGCTGGATGACTAATTCCAGCAAGGTCTGTTATTCTAGAGTGTGACTTAAACTCATAACTAACTGCTGGCCTAAATGTTGTGTCCTACCTTCATAGAGCCAGTCGCTGAGCCCATTGAAAATAACACCTTCCTTTCCTGTGGAGACCACTCGGATGGCTTGTTTCCCCACATGGGCACAGTAATAGATGTTATTCTCAAAGATAAATATCTGATTTGAAGGGAAAAAAAGAAGAAAAAGAGAACAGCATTAAGCAGTGGCTCCAGCATAAAATCTTGCATTTTGCTTTTACAATAATTGGCAGTACAAAATCACATATCACAGTTTTATGGCATCTTTTGTCAAAAAAAGGGATTTCCACAGCTTGCTTCCAGTGCCATCAGCTAATAGAAAGATGCTAATTTACAACAAACTGAAGCCTTGGTGCTTTGAGATAAGCTTTATTTCTCTCACTCCTGTCTTTATTTCAGAAACTGAGCTGTTCAGTTAGATGGCATGAGATGAAGAGTTCCATTGCTCAGGTTTTGAGAGTTGTTAGAGGGTGAAATGCTCCTGTGAATCAGGCTCTTTATTCCTGTGTTTAAATGTTGGTCGGGAAGTAAAACTTTAGCCAGCCAATAATAAAAATATTGTTCCATGGCATCTGTCCTTATCATGTGGTTTAATTGCTTTGTGTTCCTCTGTCACTGATAGAAAAATTCCTGTCCCCTCACCCCAAAGTGAAACACACCTTGCTCTAAGTAGAGTCACAGAATCACAGAATCACTTGGTTGTAAAACACTCTTAAAGTCTTTAAGGTCCCTTCCAACCCAACCCAACCCAACCCAACCCAACCCAACCCATTCTCTGATTCTAAGATCACTGAGTCCAAGCATTAACCCAGCACTGCCAAGGCCATCACCAGAGCACGTCCCCCACTGCCACATCTTCACATCTTTTAAATACACCCAGAGATGCTGACTCCAGCACTGCCATGGGCAGCCTGTTCCCATGCTTGGCAACCCTTTCTGTGAGGGAATTGCTCTTGGAATCCAATTGAAACCTCCCTGGCACAACTTGAAGGCATTTCCTCTTGTTTTACCAGTTACTCCTTGGGAAAAGACTGATCCCCCCTTGCTACACCCTCCTTTTAGGTAATTGTGGAGAGTGATGAGGTCCCCCAATGCCTCAGGTTTTAGCTTTTGTATTTTTAGATTCTGTACTGCTCTAGTTTGTAGTTCTGAGCTTCCTATTAGGGGTAGTAAGCTCTCTTTTCAGAGTAGAGAGACAAAACAATTCCTTCTCTAGCTGGGGACCAAAGACAAATGATCCAAATTTCAGGTCCAAGAGCACAATGAAGAGAGAAAAACAAGAAGGATGGAACTTCATAAGCTAAAGCTGTAATTGGACAATCAACTCCAATATGCAAATGGACCAGAACTTATAAAAGTGAGAGACCCGGTGACCATTTTGTGGCCATTTTGGTTCATCTTGGGTGTAACCCTGGCTGGGCTCTTGTGCTGCCCAAGGTGTCTCTATTGAAACCTCCTAATAAATTCCTGCTTCATTCTTTAACTCCATCTGTTCTAGTCTGTGTTCTAGGTCAGCCTTTACAAGGCATACACTCTCCTGAGCCTCTTTTTCTCCAGCTAAGCAATCCCAGCTCCCTCAGCCACTCTTCCAAGTTTGGAGCTCCAGACCCTTCCCCAGCCCCATTGCCCTTCTCTGGACATGATTCAGCACCTCAAATTCTTTCTTTTTGTGAGGGAGCTGAGCACAAGTTTGGGGATGCAGCCTCACCAGTGCCCAGGACAGGGGGACAATCACTCCCTGGTCCTGCTGGCCACACCATTTCTGATTCAGGCCAGGATGCCTTTGGCTTTCTTGGCCACCTGGGCACACCTGGCTCATGTTCAGCTGCTGTCAATCAGCACCCCCAGATCCTTTCCCCAGGGCCACTTTCCAGCCACTCTGTCCCCAGCCTGTAGCACTGCCTGGGGTTGTTGTGACCCAAATTCAGCACTTGGCCCTGTTGAGCCTCTCACCATTGGCTCTTTTTGTAGACATTTTTTGTAGGCTCTTTTTGCATCACATCTGCTGACCTCCCATGACCTGGGCCCTCCCCAGTTAGCCAGGGCTGCTGGTAAATGATGGGGCAGTGGCTCAGTGAGCGCTTGTGCCAGCTCCCACAGCTCCCTGGGATGGATCCCATGCAGTCCCATGGACTGTGTGTGTCTGAGAGGTGTGGCAGGTCACCAACACTTTATTCTGCTCCCCATCCCCACCTTCAACACATTTCTAAACTCTATTAAAACTGAAAAAATGTTATCAGTAAGCTATTTAGACTGAAATGCAAACTGTTAATATAATTTACTAGACATTTATAGATGGGTTTTTCTACACTTGAAGATATTGGAATAAATGTTATGTATTTTTACCATGATACTAGAAAGCAATTTCTCACGTTATGAAAAGGCAGAATTGAGAAAAATATTTGCTTTCATCTTCTGTTTCACATCCTATTATGGTATATGTTTCAACCAAAGATGAGCTGGAAAGATTCCAGAAGAAAGTATAGCTCTTAATTTAATTTTAGTAGGAGTTATAGCAGGTTTGCCTAAAGGTAAAAATTATTACTGAAACTGTAGCTTGCTCTTCTTCCTTTTAAACTAGGAAGAGCTGCATTCAATGAATAGATTTGGAAAGTAAAAAGTACATTGTGGAAGATATTACATTCTCTTTCCTACCTTGAATTTTAGTAAACAGAGCAGCCAGATAAGGCATTCCAACTAAAGAATTTTATGTATTAGCTAATCTGCATATGGGGAGGTTGTTGAAGTTTAAATGCACATAAAAATTGTGAAGACTAAGCAGAATAAGATACTCAGGGTTCAAATAAATCCAAATCTCTGTGTCTGAGTACTAAATGTGCTAAGGGGTGCTTGGGTAAGAGCTCTTCTATGGCAGGCACACAATCAATTGGATTTATTCAAGTGATGCAACCCTTCCCTTGCCCACGTTCTTCCAGCAAAATAAGGTTTGCAATATTTTGTACTATATTCAATGTTTTATGAGTTTACAGGAAAAATAAAGAAGGTGGATTGACAACCTGCTCCCACCCTTCCCTTTTTAAAGTATTGCAATGTTTCCATCTTCACTGTTTGATCTTTCAAAGCTTCATTGCACTCATCAGGCTGTGTGAGGTATCTGGTGCTGCAGTGGAAAAATAATATAGTGCTCTGACTTCAAACTGCCTCCCATATAACTCAGAGCCAAACTGCAGCACCTCATGGAGATTTGAAAATTATCCTCCTAACTACAGTGCCTTGTACCCTAAAAACGTCAACCATAATCAAGATAAAAGATAACTGAAGCAGCACAAGGAAGATTTCTGTGTAATGTATCTTATAAATTAAGAAAAAGCTTTTGGACTTCTGTTATTCATCAAGAGAGAAATGTCTTTGGATTACCTTACATCCCATGTTAGAAACAGTTTTGAAGTTATTGTGAAATACCTGTGTAACAATTTTTACTGTTTTGGTTTCCTGGCATCAAAGCAGTGCTTTCTATCAAATGATCAATCCTGTCAGCTAATTAGGGGATAAGAAATTTCAGTAAAGAAAAATAGTAAAAATATGTACAGACATAACTTTTACATTACTTCATGCCAGCTTTGCACAGCACTCCTAGACAAATTTAAAATGATGACAGAAGGGATGAATTTCAGTTTTATGCCTCTCTATACAGGAGATAAAGAGCAGAGCTCAAATTTCTGGTGTCTTCTCTTTTGCTGTGCTTATTTGAGCAAGACTTTAACCCAGACACTCTTGCAGCACATGTGCCTTAAAATCCAACACTGAACCAAACTACTGGCATGGAAAACCAAGCTGTGCTAAGCCAGGAGAACCCTGTGCTCAATACCGTGTCCCTTTTCATCATGACACATTCAACACAGATGAAAGAGAAGATATTCTGAAAAAAGTAAGAAGAATGGAAACATCCATTCATAGACTAAAGAAACAGAAATTGCTTACTCTACAGAAAAAATAAAGGAAGATGTAAGTTTTACAAGATGATGGACAGACACAGAATAAACAAAAAAATGTATTTTTACTGTTTTATTTATCAAAAACAACAGGCAAACCAATGAAACCTAGAATATTTTTCCTAATGAAATCAGAATTAACATATGGAACTTCTCACCACTGGATCTAGCAGAAGACCTCTCTTTCTGCTGGACGTTTTAACAGATGCCCCAAAGATTAAACACTTAACAAAAATAACTGCAACATCTGAGGGGATTTAGATAAAGTTTGGGGTTTTTCAAATGCATTAATTTAATCCCAGGATAATAAAAATCAATGGATTTTGCTTTGTGTGGCTCAGTTTGTGACTTTGAGCTGTAACCCCTTTATCCTCAGGTATCAGCACACCACTAACTCCTGTGATCTGGGAAGAAATCTCCGTCTGTATGCAAATGGTGTTAGAATTGAAAACCCCAGATTATTAGACATCCTTGCACCACACAATTAAAATTGGAGAAAAAAAAAAAAAAAGAGGGTGATTGGACCCTCTTCCACAAGCCTGAGACAGGAAGAAAAGTCAAAGCTTAAGTATCCAGTAAGATAAATTTATACAGTAGGGTAAATATTTGATCTAACAACAAATTAAACTTAATTCACTTCAAACATGCAAGAGCCTTAATGATACTGATTGATTAAAGGATTTATTTAAAATGCTTTTGCAACTGCTAAAGGGCTTCTAAAATAATACTGTCCACCAAACTGACCCAGAGTGGTATTCAGAAATTATACTTCATTAATTAAAATATTGGTACTTTTAAATGAATTATTTTATGGATTTTTTTGGGAATATAATGAAAATCATCTCTTAAGACCTAAAGAGTCACAGTGACCAACTATTTTGAGTAGGTGAACACCTCCTTTTACAGTTGTTCTGCCTACCTTCCATCCCGCCAAAGAGGTATGTGAAATTCCCACTTCTCCATAGATCAAAAGAAAAGAAATTCATGTGCACTAATCTGCATTTTTAGTGCTCCTATTTATTTACCAGCTGTAGAGTGGCATTCTAACTTTATGTTCTCTTTACCCCACAATTCCTAATGCATAACTTGTCAACTGCATGAGCTGCATCACTCAAATTTCTCATAAAGTTAATGCCTGGATGCTTATTACTTCAAGTTATTAGCACATTGAGAAGTGCAAATGTTT